ATATACCAACTCCCCAAAGGGACATCCCAAAGGGGGATGTTACTATGATGTACCGCAAATATGCACCAATAAAAACTAAAAATTAAGTAATCTTATCATACTTTCTCCAAATTATCACTAGTCACACTCAAAAGCACCTCACTTCTTATATTTTAAAACATGTATTTTAAAGGCTTGAAATGCTGCCATCTAGAGACTATTATTTCATAACAATAACTACAGCAGTGATCATGAAAGACCACTAAAATAGAATTTGGATATCATTTCTAAATGTCACTTTAAAATTCCATAATGTGAATTATTTATCTTTTAACATAAAACAAATACAATCAAGCAAAAAATTAGTAATTCATAGTAGAAATAAATAGTACCTCTCATAATTAATATTTCTAAAAACCAATAGTCTGTCACAGGCTATGTGCTACTTTTGTTTTTAGAAGAGTAATCTCTCAGAACATAACGGAAATTTATGCAAGTTGAAAATGTTTTACATTCTGGTTCACCATTCATGCCTGAGTGTTGAGGCTTGGCCTTGATAAATCATAAATTTCTTCAGAACAGGGACCAGATTGTAACTTTATGGAATATTTTCCAGAGCCCAATCTACAGATTCTGTGTCTGTATACATTTCTGCCTGTGCATACACCTTTGAGGAAAGCACTTTTTGTGTTCAGGAATAAAATAACATGGTGAAGGATGAGGACTAAGCAGCTAATTGAGCTCTTTGGCCACAATTTGAAATTGCATGTGAATTTGAAGAAAAAGAAGAAAATTATTATTTCCTATCCACAAAGAAGAATGCTTTGTTAACACTACTCATTATGCAAAAAGAAGGAAAATACAACAAGTATACTGAGGTTTTCCACACTTTCTATTGCTATATAATCAGTGCATCCTTTCCAGGCTTTATATGTCTCTTTCTGACATATGGCTTTTGAAAATTATTACTTACTCCCTTTGGTTCTTGCTAAGTAATCTTTGTTTTTGAATATTTTTACCCTTTAGCCTCTTCTTTTCCTCTTGTCCAATTTCTATTCATCTACCAAAAAAATATTCCACAGCAAAATACAATTACAGTAACTTCAAAGAGAATGGAATAAAACAGTCCTAGATATATTAGAGATACTTTTAGCTTATTTGATAGAGAATGCCACATAGGAAAACATAAAAAGGATTCTACTCTCAAGCAATGTTCTAGCTACAGTCCAGTAAATATTTGGGAGCCTGCGAGGCTGTGAGGAATAAGCCAGCATGCATTTCATCACACACTGACCCAAGTGGTAACCCCAGTTTTTAACTATCCTCAAAAAACGACATGATCACTACAGCCCAACTATTTAGGGGCTCAACTTTTAGGTTGTACGTAATGCTTACAGAAGAGATATAAACTTGGATCTCTATGTTCTTAACAAAGTAGAATTTAATTAAATGTTTCTAAATGCAACCATAATACAATTATAGATTTGAATTAAGAGCAAGCATCACAATTAAGTAATAAAGCACACTTATTCTGGAAACCTGTATCAAAGATAAGGAAAGTCTCTATATTTTTCCCCCTATAGTATCATAGTTTTTCTCTCCTACAGCCAAACTGAAGACTATTCTGTTATTTTAAAGAGAATACAAATCAAATTCTGATTCCTTGTGAACTCCATACTGAATTTAAAGATTGAAATTGTTTATATTTATTATGAACAATATTTTTTAATTCTTTTCAGTAATATTCCTTTTTCACTTTACAAAAAATAAAATTTAATGATAAAATAATATGAGAATAACAATAGTTATTACACTGTATTATTATCCTCAAAGTAGTTATTCAATGACCAAAAAAAGATTCATGGTTATAAAGATAAAATGGATAATACCACAAAACTTTCTTTTCAATGCACTAAAAGAAACCTGTAGTATAACTGAAAAAATTAGCATATAAATTAAAAATGTTTGAAACA